ATCTACAACAGGTAAGATATTCATTCTTCATAATGATTCAGTGGAACCTAAATTCAAGATCACCTTGTTTTTTATTATTATTATTATTTACTGATGAATACATGTTTTAATTATTGCTTTTTGTTGGATTTTTCTTTACAATAAAAACGAGGAGACTCAACACTGCTGGTGATCATAACGTCTCCGTTTTCAGGTTTGTTTTTGAGTGCAGAAACATGAGAAATCTACTTTTTCTTGCAAACATAGACGACGCCAGGAGCTGGCTAAAGTCGGAAAATAAATGGTGTGATTTAATTGTTGATAAAAAAATACAAACAAAAAATAACCTACTATGAATAATCATAACATTGTGTAAGACAAGACACACCAATCTGGTGGGTTCAACATGAACAATTAAAATACTACTGCACATTTCCTGCTTTTTGAACTAAACATAAACCTCACATATGACCGCACTTTATGAGCTTAAAGCTACAAAACCCCTGTCTGAGTCCTCTGAGAGGAAATCTGATCTTTAAATTGCAAATTTGATTGATTAGTTCATTTTAAGCACTCTAATTACAAAATCATGTGACAGCAGATTGAAGATATTAACTTTAAAGGATGGCTTCAGAACGCCAGTGTTGTGGAAAATAAATTGATTTTCTCCAATACATTTATGAGGCGTTTGCAGTGGAGTCAACAGATTTGTTATATAAGATGTATCTGGGTGGTATTGATGTGTCTGTGTGGGGAAAGTGGGGGCGAATGTTCCTCCTCACTTCGTCAAAAAAAAAAAAAAAAACAAGTGATCAAGTTGCATGTCCTTCGAGCAAATAAAACAGCATGCTCAGAGGAGGAGTGGTAAAGAACCAGACTATAAGAATACAGAACCACTGCAGGCTGGGCCAGACGAAAACCTTTTTCCTCTCCAGACGTCTTGTGAAATCCTGAATGTGAGCAGGTAGGATTTTCTGCACACTCGTGAAAAGCAGATTGTATGCTATCGCTTTAATTTGCAATCATTTTGTTGCACTTATTGCTGTAAATTTCCAAAAGTTTTCTCAATTAAAAAAAAAAACACTCATTAGACAGCTGGAGGACAGAACAGCTGGACCCAGCTGGGGCTCAGACGGATTGAATCGTTTTTTTTAATCAGAGGTTAAAACCTCTTTGTTCATGCACAGACGGATAAAGGGAAGCGCTTGTGCTGAAAATAAAAAAAAGTTTTTCTTTGTGTTCAACATTCTTAAAACAGTAGGGGATTGCTGGATTATTTATCCATGTTTGTGTGTGGTTTTTATTCACTCACTCATCCAGAGAGCAACAAGTATCAAGAACAGCAGCAGACATGAAGTTTCACGCTCTTGTCCTCCTTCTGGTCTTCACCTGCATGTACCTGAGTCTGGCACAGGGTATGTATCTGCTTAGATTCATACCAGATGTTCAGCTTTAAAGTTTACATTTTTACTAGATTGTATCAAAATTGGATCATTTTTCTTTGCAGCAGCTCGGTTTTGTTTGGGCACGTGGAGCTGAGTGGTTTCCTTTTATCAGGTTTTGGTTTACAGCAGTTTTTGCTTCAGCTGGTTTCACATTTCTTTATGGGTGAAACCTGTCATTTATATATTTAGAAAGAAAGAAAGAACCTCTTCAAAGAGAAGAAGAAATTGTCTTTCATGCCAAAGTTGGATCTGTCAGGACTTGTTGCTGGAAGATTACTTGGATGTGATGACAGGTGTAAAAAAAATTGCAACACTGTTTGCTCTAATTAACTGTAAAAGCTTTTTCTCATGCAGCGTAAACCTGAAATTTTGTTTTCAGTTTTCTTTAAAACGTACTGACACATTGATAAATTGATGTCATCTATTACAGAACAAACATTGCAGCTCAGTACAATTCATCAAGGATTATATTTGCAGCTTAGTCTGGGCTTCGACTTAGCCTAAATAATATAAATTCCTACAAGATCTTTATCCCCATGAAACGTTAGAGGCTTTGTCATGCAGTACAATGTTAATAAAACAAAATAAGAAAAAAGAAATACAATCAAAAAGTTAAAGAAATAAAAGGTATTGTTCAAATGTTTGAATGTAAATTACATTTTGTATAATTATGATCCCCACACGCGACCATCAATCGTAGCACAGAAATGGCTGCACTGATCAGCGTAGGAATGTAGACGATTCTGACTTACACTGCACCAGCCAATGGTTTTATGATGGACCCCATATTTGAGAAGGGGGCTCCATCTGAAAAGGGGGTCTCTGGACAAATAACATGCTTATAACTCAAAAACTATTCAACATAGGAGCTTCATTTGTTGTTGTTGTTCAGTTCGAATGAAGGGACCCACCAAGGAGAACCCTAACCCCACCCTTTCCGGACCCCCACCCATTACAATAAATCTATTCTGGTGACTTTTGGGTTCTTCATTGGTGCTTTGTATATGTGTGGGGGTCATATTTGTAATAACTGTTGATTAGATTGAGTCCAAAATGGCTCAAAGATAAAAATATCCATCCATCCATCCATCCATCCATCCATCCATCCATCCATCCATCCATTTTTCTTCATGCTCATGGAAAAGCTGGTGTCTATGTTCAGCAGTCATCAGGCAAGAGGAAACAAAAATACAGATTTTATAGGCAAATAATGCATTTAGTATTAAATATAGACGTTAACTTACTCCTGTCATTTGCAGAAAACACATCCAACAACATTGATGCAGACACTAATGATAAAGATCAAGAGCAAGATGAGGTCAGAGGTGCAAGTGTAAATTTACAAGTTTCAAATAGGAATTCTCATGTTAGTGAAATAAATCACATCACTTTGACTATTTCTTAGTCCAACACTTCCAGCGGGAATATGAGGATGATGATGAGCTTTCCCGCACAGTGCTGACTGGCTGAGCTCCTTTTTTTTCAAGTCCTTGACAGTGCAAAAAAAGTGTGAGATAAGGCTTTCACGTCAGATGATTGATATTGGTTGCTTTCAACATCCCTGCACTTTGTTCTGCCGCTAAATAACTGTAAAAACAAAAATCCAATTTTAGTTTCTCCTCAAGAAAGTCTTCAACTTTCTACACCTTTCTTTCGTCCCTCCAGGCTCGTACGAGAACTGCTGCCTTGGCCATGCTGCAAACATTGGCAGACTTATAAAGAAAAACATCGTGAGTTACAGGATGCAGGAAACAGATGGTGATTGCAACATCAGAGCTGTTGTGTGAGTACCAAATGTTGTATTCTTTTTATTGCCTACGCAGTTTATTTACTTTCAAGCATTGCTATAGCTGGCAGATACTGATCTAGATTTGAGAAGTTAAATTTAAAAAAAGAAAGCAAATCAATGATGTTTTACAATATTTCTGTTGTGTGTAGCTTTTCAGTGAAGCCGAAACGTAAACCGCAGTGGACCCTTTGTGCCAATCCAGACCACCAGTGGGTGCAGAACTTTATGAGAGTGGTGGATTCCAAAAAGAGGGCCTAGGTTAAAAGCTGCAGCATTCTTTCACAACGACCAACTTTTAATGTCTTATAGACGTTCTCACTCATTTGTCATCATAAACACATGTCTTTGCAGACCACTAAAAGGAGAGAAACCAGAGAGGAGGCAAGAGGAGAAGCTGTTTCCCCTCCCTGCCAGGCATCATAACTCATCTCCTGTCAGATGGATTGTATTTCACGTGATTTAATATTTCCTGTCGCTGACAGTGAATCCATGTAAGCAGCTTTTTAATAGCACAAGCAATCCTAAAACTATAACCAGAGCATTAAAAAATAACCCATTTCTCTCAGCCGTTGTGATGCAGTTCACTTCTCAGTGATGTATAGAGCCTGCTAAGATTGAGCCACTCTTTGGCAGCTTTAAAATGTGATCAAATGTGACTTTAATGTAAAAAACACCTTAGTAATAAGCTGATATATATATATA